AAGAATAGGCTAAGTGGAATTACATCCCTCATGATCTGTTGTTTATGTCTTGCAAAACAGTCACAAGACTGATCTTAACTAGAGAGGAGATAACAGAGTCCTTTAAATATCTCCACGAAAACACCTTCCAAGAAAATGAAATGCATATGCCGACGAAATAATAGAAAAAACCCAAGAATTTTTCAAGGATACTTCAAATTCTAGACCAGTGATCTTCAAATTTTGTCAACTTCTGGAATCCACAGAAATAAAGGGTGTTTTTTTAGAGGTATAGAACTTTAAATTGCAATAAAACAACGATGTATTATTCGATTGACATGAATTTTTTTTATTCGAAAGATAATCTTGTGGCATTACATTTTAAATATGATTTCTGGCATAGGACTGCCACGGCGGGCTCGGAAGTAGTCCAATCTGGACGTCCAATTTTCGATGACTTTTTCCACCATTTGTGGCCGTATATCGGCAATAACACGGCGAATGTTGTCTTCCAAATGGTCAAGCGCTTGTGGCTTATCTGCATAGACCATTGACTTTACATAGCTCCACAGAAAATAGTCTAGCGGTGTTAAATCACAAGATCTTGGAGGCCAATTCAAAGGTCCAAAACGTGAAATTAGGCGGTCACGTGTCTTTCAATAAATCGATTGTGGCACGAGCTGTGTGACATGTTGCGCCGTCTTGTTGGAACCACAGCTCCTGGACATCATGATTGTTCAATTCAGGAATGAAAAAGTTAGTAATCATGGCTCTATACCGATCACCATTGATTGTAACGTTGTGGCCTTCGTCGTTTTTGAAGAAGTACGGACCAATGATTCCACCAGCCCATAAAGCGCACCAAACAGTCAGTTTTTCTGGATGTAACGGTGTTTCGACATACACTTGTGGATTAGCTTCACTCCAAATGCGGCAGTTTTGTTTGTTGACATAGTCATTCAACCAGAAGTGCGCTTCATCGCTAAACAAAATTCGCTTATGAAAATCGGGAACAACGGCAATCTCGTTTTGGGCCCATTCGACGAATCTACGCCTTGCTTGATCATATTTTAAATGTAATGCCACAAGATTATCTTTCGAATAAAAAAACAATTCATGTCAATCGAATAATACATTGTTGTTTTATTGCAATTTAAAGTTCTATACCTCTAAAAAAAACACCCTTTATAAGGTGTTTTTGCCCCCGAAGATTATGTGGAAAATAATATTTGAAATCAATCTCAACATCTTATGGATTTTTTATGTAAAGACAATTAAAGAAAAGTGTTGCATTTCTTATTAAAATATTTTTCAATAAAATCAATGTAATTTGCTTGGTATTATCTTTTCTATCTTTATACAACCTCTGACAATGAAGTTCGGTGAATAGTCCTGCAACATTAACGTAAATGAAATATTAACGAAAGTTACCTTACTGCTTTTCGAAATAATCACCTTCCATAACTTTGTACCGCTGAGATCTGCTGTACATGTCCTGGAAACTTTGCAAGAAGTCTTCTTTTGAGATGGAGTTCAAAAGCCTAGTTACGTTTTCGTTGGATGTCAGAAATATCGTCAAATCTCTTTCCTTTCAAAGCGAGTGTGAGCCGAGGGAATAGGAAGAAGTCTGGTGGATTGAGATCTGGCAAGAATGGTGGAAGTTTAATTTGCACCATCCCCTTTTTTTTGCCAGGAACTGTTTGACGATATTAGCGGTGTGAGAACGAGCGTTGTCGTGAACAAAAATCCGTGGACTTTGTTGTGTGTACTGGGGGTCGTACCCTGCGTAGACGATTCATGAAACGGGTCAAAATTTCAATGTACTTTGCAGTATTCAACGTCCAGCTATTATACACACAGTTAATTGATGATCTTTCGTGATTAATTTACTCATTTTCTCAATGTTTTCGTCACTGATGGAGGCCAGTGGTCTTTCGCTACGGGTGTTGTCAGAAACACTTTCCCGGCCTTCTCGAAAACGGGTGAACCACTCGTACACACACTTCATAGACAGTGCTTGATCTTCATAAACACGTACCCGCATAGAATAATTTTCTGTCAGTGTCTTGTTAAGCTTAAAACAAAACTTTAAATTGATCTCTTGTTCGTTTATTTTCCTGTTCTCAGTTAAGAACCAAAGCACTAGCACTTAGAAAAACAAGTCTTACACGGAACACAAACGGCGCTCAATTGAACAATGGTGAGGCCAGATGGTCAACACCTGCCGTTACGCATGTGCAGCGTTTTGTTTCCCCAGTGTTGCTAGATCGGCCGTTCTGTCTTAATCCCCCGAACTTTATTGTCAGAGGATGTATTTAGTGCTGAGGATGTATATGATCGAACGTTTTTTACACAGACTGTCGAAGTCTAGTTCTGTTGAAGTTACTTACAATCGCCGTTTATATTGTGCGTTTAATTGGTTGTTATATTTTGTTGCTACGTACGTTTTTTTGTTGCTACATATGTTGAAAAGGATTTTTCACTTAAATATATTATTCTGAATTGTATTAAAATTTATATAGCTGTGAGAGAAACTTCTGTGGATACGGGACGAATTTCCAACTAAAAATGTATTAGTTGTTCTTTCTTCAATTTAGATTTGGACATCGAATCTTTCCTTCACGGGTAAGCTTTCTGATTTATTATAGCATTCGAAGTGATTTTTATCGAGTCATGCTTAATTTTCTCTTCTGAAAAATATTCTCTTATAGTTTTTTCAATTTTAAATAAAGGTGACCTATTATTAATTTTTAACTCTGTCCTTTAAATTCAATTTATTCGTCCAAAACCGGTTTAGTTTTTCAAACCAAAGCCTTCATTTTTATGATACAGTCAGACCTCTATTTAACAAAATCGCTAAATCCTAAAAAAAAGTTCGTTATATGGAAAATTCGTAAAATAGAGATTCATCTCTTAATAAACTTTAGAAACCCCTTGAAACAAATATTAAATTCATAAACATTACATTTTGTTAAAAGTAATTATTCACACTTTCTAGTAATTAATATGTATTTGTTTTATATATCTTGCCCGTCAAGAAAGAAAAAAAAAGAAATCAACAAGAAAAACAAGGGGGAAAACATTATCCAGGAAGACACTGTATTTTTAACTAAAAAAATAATTTTATATTAAAATTGATGAATTTTTTAATAACATTTCTAATTTTAAACCTACAAATAATTTTAAACATACATTTTTTTACAACAGATTATTGTAAGCATTCATTATCACATGCGTCCTCAACTGACAATTAACACATCACTCAATAATTCCCGAGCCTAAAATATAAATGGCTTTACCTTTTAACTTTAATATGTCTAACCTAACTAACTTTCAAACGGTAAGTCCGAAATTGCGTGATAATATCTTGTTTAGTTGAAAAGTTACAGTGGTTTTAGTGAAGGAACTTTTGTTTGTTTAGAAACCATGGATGAAAAAGAATTTCCAATGTTAATTAAACATTGCTTTCTGACGGGGAAAAACACTGTTCAAACAAAAGAATGGCTTGATAAATGTTATTTGGACACTGCTCCATTTCTAACAATGGTTAAGAGATGGTAATCAGACTTAAAACGTGGTCGCACAGACACAAATGATACTAAACGTTCAGGTCTCCCAAATTTTGCTGTTGTTCCAGAAAATCTCTAAAAGGTCCATAAAATCGTTTTAGCTTATCGTAAATTGAAGTTGCGTGAGATAGCAGAGGATTTAAAGGTATCAGAAGACAGTGTATTTACCAGTGTATTTGATCATTTGTCAATGAGAAAGCTGTGTTCAAAGTGGGTGCTGCGTTTGCTCACTGTCCATCAAAAACAATAACCCATCAACGATTTAGAGCGTTGTTTGAAGCTGTTTAAGCGAAATAAATAGGTTTTTTTTACATAGATATGTGGCAATGGATGAAACATGTATCAATTACTAAACGCCTGAACCAAAAAGATCGTCAGCTGACTGGATAGCAGCCGGAGAAAATTGTCCAAAGTGACTAAAAACTCAAACGTCAGCTGGCAAGGTTATGGCGTCCGTATTTTGGAATGCACCTGGAATTTTGTTTATTGACTTCCTTGAGAAAAGCAAAGGAATTAATAAAGAGTATTACATGGCGTTATTAGATTAATTGAATGAAAAAATAAAGAAAACTTCCTCAAATGTAAAAAAAAAAGTGCTGTTTCATCAAGATACTCCATGCCACTCCATGGAAACGATGGTCAAATTGAGCAAATTGCGCTTCGAATTACTTCCCTAACAAACCGTACAGTCAAGGTCTGGTTCCCAGTGACTACTAGCTGTTTTCAGACCTTAAAAGAATGCTACAGGGGAAGAGGTTTGGCTCAAATGAATTAGTGATTGCCGAAGTTGAAACCTATTTCGAGAGTAAATACAAATCATTCTACGAAAAAGGTATTAAAAAATTAGAAGAGCGCTGTGGGCTAAATGTATCCTTTTTGAAGGGGAGTATCTTGATGAATAAAGTTCAATTTTGCCTAAAAGTTGTTGTTTTATAAGTTAGGCCCGCGGGACTTATTGAGTGTTGTGTTACTGATACAATTTGTTAATTTTACATGGTTTTTTCGTTAAAAAATTTTTTGGCAATTTTATTACTCTAGGTGAGTTAGGCACTTGGTAAAACCAGTTCAAGGTCATTGATCACCATAAAATGTGTTGAAAGAGAGACTAATTTGAAATGTCCAGGAATATTTAAAAAATAGGGAGAAAAAATCGAGTCATAAAAGAAAAAGTTTGCTAAATAGAGAATTTAAGTGAATTCCTACAGGTCAACAAAGGAAAATTTTACTTTAGTTACTTTGCATTAAATAGTTACAATTAATATAAATATGTATATACATATGACAGAATCACAATATAAAGTGACAAAACAGAAAGCGATTTTCCTTGCATTTTTCTATTTACCTTTCTATATATGAAGTTAGACTACTTTTTTTGTCTGTTACTACTTATTTAATAATTAAATTTGATTATTCTAATAAAATAGTGAAGTAAGAAAGAAACAGAAATTAGACCATCCCAGGTGGGCTTTGAATCCGCGACCTTTGGATTAGAAGTCCAACGCGCTATCCATTGCACTACAGGGACACTACGAACGAGTTTCTTTTCCATATATGCTGTTGGACAATTTTTTTGTTTGTTACTATTTAGTTACTTTTTAATTTAATTAATGGATTAATTTTTGAAAAAACTGTATCCAACTGGCATCCATTACAAGTTTAAAAAATATGTATTTTAACTTGAATGGCTGAATAGAAAGTATTTTATTAACGATTGAAAACTTGAAAAGATATATATATATATATATATATATATATAATTGAAAAATTAGCTTATTTATTATGTACTTTTCATATTTATGTCTAAATTTTCTGTGCCTTGGACTCGCATAAAATTACTTCTCGTAAAATAACTTTGTAAACCAGTATACCGAACAGTTTTATGGAAATTATACAGGAAAACTATTGATGAAATTTTACAGAAATTTTTACAGATTTTAAATATAGATTCTCCACATTTTTTTTAATTATTAGTATTTTCTATCGTAGAATTATCTTTGTCCTATGGCTACTTTTTCTCTCATTATCAGTTATATTTTCCTTTCTTAAGCCCTTCATTAAGCTGGGGGTAGTTTAACTTACAAGGGGAGGGCACGACTAAAAGAACATTTAGGGGCGAGACTTTGTGCAACAGTAGTACTCCTTTTGGATGTTCAACCCTCAATGTAATTCCACCGAATGGCGAGTCAATTCGGAGAAAATAGCCTTCGAAATTCATGCTTAGCTTTTATGCAATGAAGTTTTGCTCTCTACCAGTGACGCAACGGCGTGGTTGGAAAAGTAATGGTTTACTACGCGATCGACCTCGGATCCAGTCGCGTGATCGCTTTTTTTGTTTTACCACATTTTACATATACAGCAAACTAATAACACAATAGAAGAAACTGCACATATAGTATAATGTGTCTGAATCTTCCCAAATGCTCAATTTATGGTCTGTAAAAAAGTTTTTTATGTGCATAAAACCAGTTTAACATAAAGTAAGTATTTTTAAAAACATATTTATAATACCTTAATCTTAATGTGTCTCTTCAGTTGCCATTACACTTTATCCAGTTAGTATGCATATAGTAACCACATATTTTACAAAAAAAACACAGTTTTTTATGTGTACCATAATTTTAGATGAAATATTAAATCTCCCGACTATAAGAACGCTCAAAAATCTATTCCCCTTAAAATTTCAAATATTTTACCCAAATATTCCAGTTTGTGAGAGATTGTTTTACGAAATAAAAGTTGAGAGCGAGTTTAATTTTCTTTATTCAAGCCCCATACAATCAAACGTATCATTCAATCTGAGACCTATTTTCGTAGCTGCAAACAACACATGGCACAATCTTCTCACCATCGCACTTCTCGCAACTCATCCAAACTGGATTGAGCTTGGAAGTGTTTACACCGGCTTCACTTTCAGCTGGTCTTTCAAAGACCTCTTTGTTCAAGCAAATAAATTCACCATCCACATTGGAGCTGCTGTCCGCCATAGTTATGCCCGAGTATTCTTTTCTCCAGTTTTTGGGACAAGATGTCTGAGCGAAAAGGGTCTTCACAGCCACAGTCTCCGGGACCATGCAAGCAGCACAAGGTATAGGACGAGACTTCTCAGGCTCGATCAAGGTCCTGTATTCAACTGCGTCAAGGTAGGCAGGCTTGGGCTGAGTGTTGATGGCCTTCGATATTTTCGGTTCTTTGATTTTCATGCATTCGAAATTGCGTCCACCAGCCCACGATTTGGATAAGGTACCGGCGGCACGTCCTGAGTAAAGAAGAGACACTGCAGCAGTGCTGGATAATCCTGACTCAAAATCCGAACTGGAAGTAGCTGGGCAGGTCTCTGAGCCCCAGTTGATGTAAACTGCTCCACTGCCGTCAGGTTTCTCCCATACTGAAAAAAATGACATAATTTAAACAGAATTTTTATTCGTTATGCATACTCAAATGTTTTGAGAATAATTCGAGTTGATAGGATTACACACAGAAGAATGTTCTTTAATTAAAAATGAGAAAATGCCCAATTTTAGCAAAGTAAGTTTCTAAATTTTAGCTGAAACACAACTTATATGGCTGATTATAATACGGTATTTATCAGGGGAGTACACAAACTTCGAGTGGTGAATTTTTAGGCACATTTTAAAAAACTTGTAAAAAAAAGCACCGAGGCACCACCTTTATATTAAAAATCATTTAAAATCTGTTAGTCTATAGAAGGGTGAAGTTGAACTTTGCCTTGTGTATGTTACTCGTACTTATAAAACAGTTTTGAAGATATACTACCATAGCCTTTCCCAAGCCATTAAATGTCACACCATTTCAAATGAAAGCAGATCACGACTATCTAGGCACCCGTTTACATAATTTTTATTGGTGTTTCTCTCTTTTAATGTCTAAAATGCCCACTACACGAACTTGAAATGATGGATACAAACCACTTCAAGACCATAACGTAAGATGATAACAAGAGCTAGCTCATTCCAGAAGTTCGACTCTACTGATCCACGCGCTGCCTAATGGTCCAACAGTGAAGGATAAGCGAGTAGTATGAACATAAAGTAATTTTTGCTCACACAAAGATAATTTTTCAAAATAGTACTCTAAAAAAATTAATAAGGTGTTTTTTCTACAAACAAAGGCCAAATTTGCTAAAATAAGCAATAATAGCTAACATATACTATTTCTGATTTGTTGAATTCCTAAATATTGTTATTTCTTAGTTATTTTCATATCTATCTAAATTTTACAGGCAAAAATATTTACCAAACTTTCGTATTTGGAAATTTTCTAACTTCCCCAACTTAATATCATTCTAAAACTGATAGTATATTCTAAAGTTTAAAGCTAATTCAAGAAAAGCAACATTGAGGAAAGCTATACATACCTATGGGTTCTTTGGTCTGAAAAAATAAAGAAAAAAAAATGTTAGAATAAGCAAAATTTAATTTAAACGTGAAAGCATTATACAAAAAGTACCGAAACTGTGCAAATAATTTCAAGACTTTTAAATTCCAGATCATGAGCTTCAAGGGAAGCAACACACAAACTGAGTCACAGACATATTTGATTAAAAATCATTGTGAAGAAATAGGAAGGCTGATGTATGTTAAATAAAAATCCCGTCTCATATTTCTCATACAGAGTTGTAGTTATCCCCTATATAGATCTTGACAGCAATTTTAATTCAAATCACGTATTCTAAATTTCTCGAGGAATATCTCCCCCCCTCTTTTAGTAAAATATGATTTTTTTTCTTCTTAATTCTAAAATATCAATATCATTAACACATTATAATTAACTTTCCCAAAGAGGTTTCCTCGTTGAATTTAACACTCAAAAATCATGATTAAAACTATTTATTTTAATAAGAAATTTACAGTAGAGTTTTAAATTAATGTTTAGTGTCTTGTAATTCATATATTTGCAAAAAAAAATATTAATTTTTCTATTAGTATTAGTGAATACAAAGTTTATTCGACAGACGCATTTTATTCTTATAAACATTCAAATGTGATCAAAAAGGTTTTCAGATGAATGAAAATATCTCGAAAAGGTACAAAAAAAATGAAATAAAGGGTGTTTTTTTAGAGGTATAAAACTTTAAATTGCAATAAAACAACGATGTATTATTCGATTGACATGAATTTTTTTTATTCGAAATATAATCTTGTGGCATTACATTTTAAATATGATTTCTGGCATAGGACTGCCACGGCTGGCTCGGATGTAGTCCAATCTGGACGTCCAATTTTCGATGACTTTTTCCAACATTTGTGGCCGTATATCGGCAATAACACGGCGAATGTTGTCTTGCAAATGGTCAAGCGCTTGTGGCTTATCTGCATAGATCAATGACTTTACATAGCTCCACAGAAAATAGTCTAGCGGTGTTAAATCACAAGATCTTGGAGGCCAATTCACAGGTCCAAAACGCGAAATTAGGCGGTCACGTGTCTTTCAATAAATCGATTGTGGCACGAGCTGTGTGACATGTTGCGCCGTCTTGTTGGAACCACAGCTCCTGGACATCATGATTGTTCAATTCAGGAATGAAAAAGTTAGTAATCATGGCTCTATACCGATCACCATTGACTGTAACGTTGTGGCCTTCGTCGTTTTTGAAGAAGTACGGACCAATGATTCCACCAGCCCATAAAGCGCACCAAACAATCAGTTTTTCTCAATGTAACGGTGTTTCGAAATACACTTGTGGATTAGCTTCACTCCATATGCGGCAGTTTTGTTTGTTGACGTAGCCATTTATCCAGAAGTGCGCTTCATCGCTAAACAAAATTCGCTTATGAAAATCGGGAACAACGGCCCTCTCGTTTTGGGCCCATTCGACGAATCTACGCCTCGCTTGATGATCGTTTTGATGAATTGCCAAACCAAACTGAGAATAAATCACTTGACAGCTGTTAAATCGGTCGCCATCTTGGAAAGTAATGCCAACTTAAACTTCTATACCTGGAAAAAAAACACTCTTTATATATTAAATTCCCAACCAGCGCGTCAATTAATCATTAAAGTTTTTTTCCTAGACTGAGCTATCATAAATTTAGAATAATTGCAAGATATGCCATCTTAAACAACATTACTTTGATAACAGACGATTTTATATCAGCAGATAAATTAAGAAATTAGAAAAATAGTAATATGAAAGAGATATAATAATATGAAAGAGAAATTTTTCTCAACCTAAGTGTAATATCTATCACTAGTACATATATGCAATTGGAATAGTTATTTAAAAATTAGTTCAAACTATTGAAAAGAAATTTAAATAGAAATAAATATTTTACAATACGAAACAGTATTTTTATGAATATCAAATTAATGATGTTTTAAGTTCAATCATTACTTCATTTTCTTACGACAAAATATACTTTTATTGGCCGTAAGTGGGAAAGTATTTTAGCGGCTTTAAGTTCCCCCTATATTTCTAAGAAGGGTAAGACAATTCGACACAATATGCTTAAATATCGAATTACTAACATGCTTTGAAATAATTTTGTTTTTCCTGTTTTCTATTGA